GCGAGTTCGCCCGAGGAGCAGGTGGCACGCGTGTACGCAGCCGGCCAGCGCGGGCCGGGACTGGGGGTGACGCGGGCGTTGGGCGACGCCGCCGCCAAGTGTTGTGGAATTATCGCCACACCGCAGGCTTGCCAAGAGTTCTCGGGGGAACCGCGCCCTTTTCTCATGTCTGGAAGGTGCACTATCTTCGCCTCGACCCGAGCAAACAGGCCCCACACGACGATCCACGACGTGTGTTGGGGTGACACTTCCTTTCGTGAGTGGCATGCGCCCGCACATGCACAAGGCGAAAGCCGTGTTGGCGAGCGACGGCCGCGACCTCGACCTGTGTGATCCGCCTCAACCGCTGCTCATCCGCAGCCTGAGGCATCTGGGAGGTGGTGGGGCAAAAGGACTTGCCCTCTCTGGTGCTGGATGGCGCCCCCTGGCCGATTAGGGTGCCTGTGCGGTAGCATCGCATTTTCCTGCCATTGCCGGCCAGCCGGAGGCAGACACTGCCAAGCTGCAGTCAGCCGCGTTTGAGGGTTGGGCCTCGCTGACAGGTCAGGCGCTCAGGTCGTTGCGACTTCCGAGATCGGCTCGCCGTGCCTTTTTGTTGTCTTCTCTTGCAGTCTGCGCACAGGAGGCGGCTACCGCGCTGGCACCTCAGAAGGGCACTGAGGCGCAGTGACATGCAGTGACATTGCCAGTTGCACCCGGAGCTCAGGATGATGTGACGAGCATGGTGATTCCGCTGGGCTGCGAAGCAGCGCTTGCGGTCGATTCATAGGCGAGCTGCGAAGCAGCCGTGTTACAGTCCGTGATGGACACGACGAGCTGTTAAGCAGCCGTCCCATTCAGAGCAGTCGCGGCCCACCCGAGATGTTTCTCAGCGAACATGACGGGAGGTGCCATGTGTACAGCATTGTCCTGTGACGTCTTGTGCTCAGAGCCACCCGACTGAACACTGTCTAGCTCAATCTAGGAATCTATAGGGCAGTTCAAAGCCGATTTCGGGGGGATTTCGAAAAAACATCCCATGTCCGGATCCCAGACAGAGAAGGGACCCAGTCGTCAATCTCTGCACAGGACTAGCCTGGCCGATGTGCGCATGGTCGCGGAAATTAAAAGCAGGCACAGAAAGGGCTTCCGAGAACAACCCTGGCATGAGCGAAAAGACACCCGTGTGACCCGAACCTCGCCACGAGGTGCTAAAGTCTGCGAGAGCGTGGTTGATTTGAGGGAGTTGTCCAGGCGTGCTCAGTTTCAGTCCACAGTTCTCCGAACAATCTGGCCTGCAGCGTCGAAAAGCAAGAGAAGCACCGGCGCAAGCGTTGAGAGTCGCATCGTGAGACGCTGCATGCAGTGCATGGTCCAGCGAGTCTCTAGGCTTTTGCCACTAGAAAAGCCAACAGCACGCCACCGGCAGAACCAAGCAAAGAGTCTTGACATTTCACACGAGCACTTTTCTTACCATGCGCCGCACGATGCGAGCCGTGATGCGTTCTTCGCAGGCCGGTACTCCCATAGAAGTCTGGTACGAGTCTAGACTAGTGAGTGCCCTCTCGGGCCTCAGGTTCTGCAGGTGCAGTGCAGCGTGCGCATTTCGTAGAGAAGATCGCAGTGGGAGTCACTTCCTTGTGGAATTCGGCTTCTCTTGCTGTGAGGCACGCACCATTGTGGAGCATGCTTAGAGCGAGGCGGGGATGCCGACTCTGCTCCCTGCACCTTCGAAGCGACAGAACCAGTCTTCGCTCTGTCCTCTGGCAGCAGGCGATCGTTTTTCTCGGCCACAAGATGATCAACTTCTTCGGCTGGAATGGAGGCCTTTGAGTCTTCGAGCTGCGACCCCGACCCCTATGCGGACCCAAACTCTGCATCTTTTTGGATGGAGTCCCTTGTATTCCCTTGTTGTCTGGCTTCTTCAAGCGTGCGCGCTTGCAGGGACCACGGCACCCTCCAAAGTCAGGCGGGATATGAGTCCAGCCTGCTTCCGGTGCTTCGTGGCTTAAGGCTTCTCGTGCATTTGACGCTCTTAGTGTTTTGGCTCTATAGGGTTTAGGGCTGCAGGCAAGAGCGGCACTTCCGACAACAGTCGACTTCAGTGCAAGACGCCGAGCCTCCATGTGCTTCGCCTGTTGCAAGGCCGCCGAGCCCCAACGATGCTGAGGCAGAAGTCGAATAAAGAACTGAGGTTAGTGTTCACGACATGTGTGCCAATAATATGAAAATACAGGAAACCATAGACTAATCACATGCACCTAACGGACAGTAGTGCAATATGATACACAATATCAAAATTTCGTCATATACTAAGACACTACAATAATGCAAGATAATGTGTTATATCTTACAATGCAACATGAAATAATGAAGAGAAATACGCAAGCAACTAGACAAATACATATCATCTTCTTCCGGACGCAGCGGACAGGTCGTCGCCTAGCTAGTCAAGGCAAAACCATTATTGGTTTCGGCACCTTGTAGGTGCGCACATTCGTCCCCCCCCCCCCCCCCCCCCCCCCC